GTTGCAGTTTGGACTTTCAAGTTTCAATTATGGTTGTTAAGTTTATATTATTAATTATAATTTTCTCGAACAACAATTTAAATTGTGTTTAATACTGTGTTGTGGTCCATATATTTCTATATCTGTGTATTTATATACATGCAGATGATATTATGTTGTGGAGGGGCAGAAGCGTCCGAGTTCATAGTTCAGTGGCAGCACAATGACACGATTCGAAGGAAGACATAAAAGGAGAGAATAACAACTAAGAAGATCCCACTTCCACTACCGAGTATGGACAGATATATCTTGCGTTGGTCCAGTAATAATCATAGTATAATAAATTAAAATTGAGCAAAAAAGTTTCAAAGTGTATGAGTAATTAAAATTCCTTAAGAGTGATGGTGAAGAACTTGTCCACAATCACATTAAAAGAATTCCTGATTTTCATTAAAAAGAAAAATGAAACGAAAATGCAGGGATTGCAGTTTCGTGTGCACACTGCACAGTTGTTGATGAATATTGTTGACATGTCAAACAAAGCAAGCCCACTCGTATGGTATGTTTTATGTATTATTTGTCGTTTTCTTGCACACCCTATAGATAATTTTTCAATTCTCATACTCATTTGAAAACTGAGAGAACTTTTACACTATACAATACATACATATGTATATAGCTATTATTTTGATGAGCAAAAAAATGAAAAAAAGAAGGGAGCATCTGGCAGTTGGGCAAATGTCAAGAAAGGAAGGGCGCGGCATTGCCAATCTGGACCTTTGCGGTACAGTACTCGCTCCTTATCTGCGTTTTAGCTTAATTCATTCAAACCAATCCCACAAGCCACAACACAACATCTCTCTCTCATCTTCATCTTCATCTTCATCTTCATGGATGAGGCCAACGCTAACGCAACGCAACCACTTCTCACCTCCATCCACAGAGACAGAGACAGAGAGGAGAATGAAATCCAAACCCCATACGGAAACCTTGAACAACAACTGGACGACATCCCTCCCATCAACAACCTCCGCGACTTCTCCAGGGAGTTTGCCCAGGAATTGAAGAAGCTGTGGTACCTGGCCGGGCCCGCCATCTTCACCTCCGTATGCCAGTACTCCCTCGGGGCCGTCACCCAGGTCTTCGCTGGCCACGTCTCCACTCTCGCCCTCGCTGCCGTCTCCGTCGAGAACTCCGTTATCGCCGGGTTCGCCTTCGGCGTCATGCTTGGCATGGGAAGTGCCCTGGAGACGCTGTGCGGCCAAGCGTACGGGGCCGGGAAGCCCGAGATGCTAGGAGTTTACATGCAAAGGTCGTGGGTCATCCTCACGGCCACGGCTCTCGTACTGAGCCCTCTCTACGTGTTTGCGGAGGCGTGGCTGAAAGTGATTGGGCAGACGAGGGAAATCTCGGAGGCGGCCGGAGTTTTGTCCATCTGGATGATCCCCCAGCTGTTTGCGTACGCCTTCAACTTTCCCATCGCCAAGTTTCTACAGTCGCAGAGCAAGATGGTGGCGATGGCCGTCATCTCAGCGGTGGCGTTGGTCCTCCACGCGCTCTTCAGCTGGATCTTCATCCTGAAGTGGGGGTGGGGCCTGCCTGGGGCCGCGCTCGTGCTCAACTCCTCCTGGTGGTTCATAGTCGGGGCGCAGTTGGTTTACATATTTAGTGGAAGCTGCGGTGAGGCTTGGTCCGGATTCTCCTGGACCGCGTTTCACAACCTTTGGAATTTCGTCTCCTTGTCTTTGGCTTCCGCGGTGATGCTGTGGTGAGTGACTGTGACTTGATCATGTGTGAGAAGCTTAATTAATTAATAATTAATAATTAATAATTAATGATGGTTGGGTTTGGTTGGTGCAGCTTGGAGATGTGGTACTACATGGCTCTAGTACTTTTCGCCGGATATTTGAACAACGCGGAGCTCTCCGTTGACGCCTTGTCCATATGGTTACTCTTTCCTTTACTCTCTATATTTATTTAACTCATTCCTGCCACTGCCTCTAAACAACTTCATTCATCGCAATCACATTCAATATAAAAGTAGCACTATAAATTAATTCAATTGGGTTTTCAAATATATGTATCAATTATTTCCTTTGGTGGAACTGCAACTCTAAACAAAAATTTAGTATTTCGATTGCATCAACCGCCTTTTATTTATTATTTCCCCCCTTTTTCTTCTTCGGCTTAAATTACTTAAATCATCATCCTCTCATCTCTTCAATATTTCTTTTCTTTAGATTTCTTTAAAGTTATTTGAATCTTTTTTAACACTTTTTTTTTTAATAAAGTTATCCAAAGGCTCAAAAAGCTATACTAGATATACTTTGAATTAATAAAATTTTCAAAAGTAGATGTAAGAAAAGCGTTTTGTTTATAAATCATCTTTTTGAAAAGTCACCCAAACACAATGTTGGGGTCTTCTAAGGCGGAGTGGCCCATCGCTTGTGCGATGTTCAATCTGATTTTGTGGATTAAAAGAGTAGCTGGCCACCAATCACGTCTTTAGGTTCTCAACATGCAACGAATGAAATGAAAGATTTAACCACTTCAATTAGAAAAACAGCAAGCAAGCAAGCATTTAAAAGTTTTCACTATTCATTAATTAATGAGCTGCTTTTAATTAATCAATCAAATTATGATTTGAAAGGGAGGTTCTTTTCTTTTTTAATTTTCCCTTAATGTTATTGCAGCGTCAACATAGTTGGATGGACAGTAATGGTGGCGCTTGGAATGAATGCAGCCGTCAGGTTAATCCGGAAACAGTTATTTATTAGAAGAAAAAAAAAGAACATAAAATGAATGAAATCGAGTATGCGAACTAAAGTAAAGTAAATAGCTGCAGCGTGAGAGTATCGAATGAACTAGGGGCGGCTCATCCGAGAACGGCCAAGTTTTCGTTGGCAGTGGCAGTCATAACTTCGTGTCTGATCGGTCTCTTGCTCTCTTTGGTTTTCATCATTGAAAGAAACAACTATCCGTATTTGTTCACAAACGACAGTGCAGTTCAGAAGCTTGTGAAGCAGCTAACTCCCATTCTGTCTCTCTGTGTTCTCATCAACAATGTTCAACCAGTTCTCTCAGGTGAAACCTATCTCTCTGTCTAACAAGGGTTTACGTTTTGATTTGGGATGGTGAAAATGAAACGTTGATTCATATAATAAAAACTAAAAAGGGGTGGCCATTGGAGCTGGATGGCAAGCTGCTGTAGCTTATGTCAATGTTGGGTGCTACTATGTGCTTGGCGTTCCACTGGGCCTTCTCATGGGTTTGAAGCTGCAACTCGGTGTTACTGTAAGTCTCTCATCTATCTCATTCTGACCCTTACAATCTTAGAAAGCTTATACTGAGATCTAAATCTACAGGGAATTTGGTATGGAATGCTTTCCGGAACCATCGTGCAAACTTGTGTCTTGTTTTTGATGGTTTACAGGACCAACTGGAACAGAGAGGTCCATTTTCTTTCTTTTGGTTTTTTATGGACAAAACCAAAGGCTTCGCTTTCTTTTAAACTCTAAATGTGCAATACTTACATATATGCAGGCTTCTGCTGCTGAAGATAGAATAAGGAAATGGGGAGGCATCTCTGATTCGTATGGAAACGACCACAGAGAGAAGTAGATGCAAACATGCCAAAGCACTATACACAATCTATCTATCTATTAGTGCGATGAGCAGGAATTTCAGTCAGGCAGAGAGAACTCGGCCAGGCTATTGCTTCTTGGGATTTATGGTCAGAAGAAACTTCCATTCGAGATTAAATTTTGAATAGTTTTAGTCTCGAGGAGTTCACCAATCTCCCTCTCCTCACACCATGGTTTGGTTTCTGAAGTTTTACTTCAGACCTCAGGCCTCAAGGTGTCATTAGGGCTCTTGGATAGAATTTCCCTACGAAAAAGTGTGTGAATTTTTTAAATGGACCCTTCCTTGTCTGGGGAATCCTACTTGAGATAAAGTTAAGAGAAACCCCCATTATCATGATTACGTAGAAAAAAAATCGACTTTGGTTGCTGAGTTGCAAATGATTTAGTGTGAACTGACAAACATGATAAGTGCTGAAAACCACTAGACAATCACTGGAGAAGGAGTTAGAAAAAGGAGTCAACAAAATGAAGGGCAACTATCACTGTGGGTAAGGAGTGAAGCATCTAACAAGAAGTAGAAAACAAATCTCTATCTGTGTCGCTTTTATATACCTAAATGATCTGTTTGGAATCCTTTGAATAACTTATTTTGCTTCCTCAAACTACCCAGCTTGGCCTAGCAGGTGGAGTATATATACACCCATGATGTCCAGATTTTAGGGTGAATTGTTACAGGTAGCCAAAACGGCTACGGCTTGATTCCAGGCCTTTGCACATCTCCATAAGGATTGAGGAGCTTGAGAGTTCACTTCTCCATTCTTGAAATCATTGCGTTCCAACAAACAGTCCTCTTTGAGGCATTTCGTCGAACACATGCTGGGCTGGGTTGGTAGGTTCCAAATGTCACCATCTGGTACTCTACTTGAAACGGTGGATCGATTGGACATCTTGTGTGCCATTATTAATGTAAAAGGAAGCCATAAAATCCATTGTCTGTCTTCTCCCTCCTTTATTTTATGTATCATTCCACCCAAAGATTTTATCTTCGGTAAGAGTTTATCCAAACTTTATTAGCTCGTTCATATATCGCCAATAAAATCATTCATCCAACAAACGTATCACAGATCGGGGACGAACGATCAGTAAGGAAAAAACGAGAATCGTATTAGAGAAAACAGGCATCAAAATGTTAAAGACATCGGAAATATGGTTAAGCAACAGAAGATGAAAAGAGCGAAAAATACCGAATCGAAGCAGTGAGTAGCATCCTTAATCTTCTTCTCAGCGATGTTGGAAACAAGCTTAGCCTTCACGACAATAGGCTGTTTCTCCGGCGCCCAATTGCGTGACATGGAGCAAGGGGACCAGAGCTTGTGGACATTGAGAATGGAGCTTGGGGAAATAGAGCATACCAACTCTTCTTCCGGTTCCAGCTATTGTGGATGGGGGTAATTTTGGAATTTACATCGATGATGACCCACATAATTTCAATGTTGTATGCGGTCCAGTGAATAAAGGCCTCGAGAAAGTTGGAGCACAATCCAATCCAAACTACTTTGGGCTTCCAGTTTAAACTTTAAACTTTAAACTGCTTTTGGATGACATTTAGAACACGAATTTTTGGAAGCTTTTATTTGAATAAAAGAAGTCCCCTAGATATTATTCTACCAAAAATGATTGGAAGATATGTAAACAACGTAGGATCAGGATGCAAGCAAAAAATAATGAATAAATTAAATGAGAAAGTTACAGCCGAAACACACGAAAGGTTGAATTGCGATAAACTTGTACATAAGATAAGAATAAGATGGTAGTATCATACCACATTGGTTTGTTCGTCATAGTTTAGTTTACATAAATGGGGGAGCCTCGTTTTCATCCCCACGCATTGGATTGGATTGATCGAATTTAAAAACAATGCCATACATTTGCATCGAGTTTGTAGTTCCAGACATGCTGAAGAGTTGTGTTCCGTATTTAGGGTCCATCGAGAATGACGAGTCCAAAAGCAAAGAACTGGAATTGGGGGTCAGAAATTCCCACATTGTGGTGAGGGTGGTCCATGCGGGGGGCAAAATCGACAAGTATCCGAACGCAGTACTCGCGGCTAAACTCCTGGAAAACCTTCCTGGCAACTGGCTGGCCCGCCCCGAAGTATTCAAGCACCCACACGAGTCTGTGATATGCCCTGAAGAGTACCTACTTCCTGGCCACAAGTACTACGTAATTCCTCTCTCCACCCTCCGCAAGCTGAAAAGGAAGCACAACAAGATTGGGATTGGGATGAGGAGCCAAGAAGCTAATTCCAATTCCACAGATCAGAGCTGTGAACAATATTCCATTTGCAGGGACGAACAACAATCTTTTTGCTACGCGAGAGATTTTTATGAGAGCAGCACCACCACCACCACCACCACGTGTGTGGATGGACCCAGCAGAGTTTCAAAGAGCAATCGAAGTTTGAAGCCAAAGCCAAAGCCAAAGCCGTGCAGCTCTGTTGTTACCTGGGAGCCTGGCCTTACTTCTATACAAGAGGTTTCTCCATGACCAACTCATCTTCACCTCACAATTCTGCTTCATCTTTCATTCCTTCCCTTCCACAATTCTGACGCAAAAATAAGCTTCTAATCAGCAACATTATATTTTTCCATCTCCCATCCTTACATCTACAACAAACACACAAACCTCCTCTGTACCGCCTTCATGGGCACACCCAATAATATCTTTGTATTTTTTTTACTTCTTCTTCTTTTGAAGACCTCCCATATGAATAATTTTATTTATATGGTAAATAATTGCCAGGATTAGTAATTTCATGAAATGGAATAATGGAAGTTACCATAAAAATCATAAAATACTTTCTTTGATCAACTTATTATTAAGGTATATAATGTATCGTTCTATTCCCTACCCCTCCTCAATGTTGATGTACTGAAAAAAAATTTACCATAAAATACTTTATAAATATTACTAAGATAATCGGAATGCATTTACATGATAGCTTATTGTTTTTTTTAAAAAAAAAAAACCCTTGATTTTACGTTTCTCTTTTTTAGCTTTCAAATGGTTAATGGTGGTGATCATCATGATTTAAGTATTTTCCTTTTATCTAATTTCATCTTTGTTCTATTCCTCGCGCTAATATTTTATATATAAATATAATTGTGAAAGTTATGACACCAAATGATCAACTGTGAACCATACATAAATTAATTAGCTTGTGTTACTTGTATCACACTAGAAAACAAAGAGTTGTACATACCTGTATTGAGAAAATCTCTCGTATTGATCTTCTTCCAAATTGATAGACTTCCAACCCTACTTGTACAGTGGACATAAGCTCATTGCCGAACCTCTAAACCTTGTGTGCTTCTCATTTGTCTTCTCTTATTTTCGTTCTCTCCTGGACACTATATGATAAGAATCATGGTGTTCCGCACGTCTCCACTGGACCTATTACACGAGCCAAGGCTAAGAAGCTTCAACAAGCATTCCTTATTCACGTACAAAATTGGATAGGCTCAGTTCAACCTTTATTTCAGATACTGCAAAATAATCCAAGAGAGGACGATGTTGTGAAGGTCAACGTTTGCAAGATTGACGTTGTGCCAACATTTTAAAGATTCAATTGTTGTTTCTAAGTCATCAAATTTTGCTTGTAATTTTTGAGTTTTTGGTCTTCCAAATTATGGTTTCAACTTTAAAGTTCAATTCTGAGAGGTTATTAAGTAGACCAATTGTGGTCATTACTACTTATGGGTTTTATTTTGGGAAGTGAAGGGTTGGGGGTTTCAGTCATATAATGGCTATAAAAAGCCACATCCAAGCTATGTAAAAGGTAGATTTTAGCTGAATGAAATTTGATCTCTCAAGAGACATTTTCTTTAGAAATCCCATTGCCATTTTTAAGGTTTCTTGCAATTCTTGTGATAGATTGCATTTTGAGCCATTCAATCCAGCCTTGATCAAGTTTGATTGTGGAAYGACTCATTCTAGAACAAGATCTCAATTCTTGCTTCTAGATCTTTGATCATAGAGGTAATCAATTTCTAGMCTTTCTCTTGGTTGATTCTAACTTGTTTAAGGAGGTGTTAATTTCTTTGATTCAAGGGTTCTTGCTCAACAAAAGCTTGGATCATTGGGCTGAGAATTAGGATTGCCTTATCATTTGGTATCAGAGCATAGGTTGCATCTTTGTTGTCTACTCTAGAATTGATTCTATCTTTCATTTCAATTGTTCAGTGTTGATTTCTTGAAAAAAAAAATCCAGAAGTTGTTCAAGTAGTGTTCTTGAGTTGTCATTCATATTTCTCTTTAATCCGTTTCAAATTGCACGAAACTTTGTTGTTCATTGATAGTTATAATCAAATGTTGTTGTGACTGTCCAAATTCGTAACTGCAGCATTTAATGATTGTAATGCCTATTGAAACTCCTTGATAACGTTCGAATTTAATTGTTTCTTCTGAAGTGAAACGTTAGATCTGAATGTTACCTTTCAAAGTTAAGAAGACCATTTAGTCAAAATCATAAAGTAATATATTCGTTTTTGGAATTCCGTCTCTGTGTGCAATTTTAACGGAAAAATCCTTCTTTGCTTCTATACTTTATTCTTTTCAGAATTGAAGGAATTTGTCATTCAAATTTATTCTCTTTGCTTCATAAAGACTAATTCCATCATATTTAGGGCTGTCTCTTTTTTGTGTGGCACATATCTCTGAATTTCGTAGAACGCATCCTATCGTTGTTTTCTTTGTTCTAGTTGAGATTTCATAATTATCTTGTCTTGGCTGTTTTGTAATGTTCACTATTACAAGAATTGCTTGGACCACAAGTTAGCCTACCCAATATCAACATTTAGTCACTTTCCCAAATAGCCTACCTTTGTGTGTGATAGACACGAGTGTTCCGAGTGAAAATCAGTGAGTTGAGTGTGTGAGGTCCTAAACATATTTAACTACTGTTTGTAACGTCATGAATCCAGATGGGGGAAATGGAGCGGATATTAGTGAAGCTAGGTGGAGAGAAGCACAAACCGGGGCCATTACTCGTTTAAACCAAGTAATTAGTACCTTGGCAGACCGGATGGAGCGAATTGAAGTAGCTTTAGGAAATCATCAAGGAAGGGAAGTTAATGAAGGAGTTGAAAATGAAGAAGAAGATGACAATGTAACCCTTTTAGCCGGGCACAATCCGAGGGGAGTAAGAGGTGCAGGCCGGGGGAGAGGAAGGGGAAGAAGAGTGGGAAGAGAAATGTTACCACTAAGAAGGGTTGATAGGGAGTACCAATATGAAAGGAAAGAGAGAGGGGCCGGGGGAGTGAAGCTTAAAATTCCATCCTTTCATGGGAGATCAGATCCAGAGGAGTATTTGCAATATGAAAGCAAAATCGAGCATGTATTTGATTGCAACAATTTTAGTGAGGAAAGAAAGTTGAAACTTGCAGTGGCTGAATTTTGTGATTATGCCAATATTTGGTGGACATCTTTAAAATCAGAATGGATGAGAAACTATGAAGAACCAATTGAAACTTGGGAGGAATTAAAGGCCTTAATGAGGAAGAGGTACATTCCTAAGCATTATTCTCGAGAACTCAAGCAAAAACTCTATGCGTTGCAACAAGGATCCAAAAGTGTGGAAGACTATTACAAAGAAATGGAGGCCCTTATGAATAGAGCTGGAATTGATGAAGATGCGGAGGATACAATGGCTAGGTTCCTTGGCGGGTTGAATCGACCGTTGGCTCATCAAGTGGATAGACAAACTTATTTTGATATGAAAGAGTTGTTACACCTTGCTGTCAAAATTGAAGGCCAATTAGCATGGGAGAAGGAGAACTCCAAGAGGTATACTTCTTCTAAGTCAACTTCTTTTTCTACTAATACTTGG